TGTGTGTCAGAACAATGAGGCAACTGCTGTCTCCAGGTAGAAACAGCAGTGACACACCTACTGCTGTCAGACCTGCAGGTATCAGGCTGTGATGTTTCCTTTATAGTGGACAGAAATATTTGGAGTGGCACAAATAATTTGTGGCATCTTATTGAAGAACAGCTGATTGTTCTGTAAACAGTTTGAAATGGCTGCAAATAACTTTGTTTGCAAAACTTGTGCATATGATTTTAAAAATGACAATTTATATTTGCATTGAAAGTTATGAAATATGATTCATTAAACATGTTTGTGGTTGTTACGGTGAAAATATCACCTTTTCTACTCTGATTTTATGTTTTTTGTCTGATTTTAGATCAATTGTGTTAATACAGTATGTCAAAATGAAAACATGACTGTAAATTCAGACACATGACACACAGGCTGAGCTGAAAAGAATGAGACCAAACAAAGTAAATAGTTTTTAAAGGTGAAATGTGGAGGAAACATCAAATGGCCAATTATACCCTGGAACCCAGAGGGTTAAACTTTTTTTTAAAGTAACACAATAGTTACTTTTCAAGTAATTAATTACTTTTAGAATCTTGCAACTCAATTACTAATTCAGTTACTTTTTTGAAGAAGTAACTAGTAACTATAATTAATTACTTTTTCAAAGTTACTTGCCCAACACTGGTCATTTTTGGCGAAGGGGATCACCTATGAAATGATAAAACATGATTATGACCCTCAATGTCTTGATTCTGAAGGTGCGGGCCCAAATTTAAACACCTATGAGTTGTCTTTGCTGTCCTCCATGTGTGGTCGGTCTCTGGCCATTTGCCTCAATTGTGCATGCTCCAGTTTTCAATTCCTCTGGCATGCTATGCAGTTCTTTTTGGATTGCATGGTCAGACATGCTATATAAGGAGATACTTTTCAGGCTAGGTTTTTTCTTAGAAGGAATGGCCATCCTGTCAGCTATTTGTCACAGGCCCACAGAGAAGTGATTTCACACCACGTCCCATGTCCGACTGACCCCGTCAGTCAGCATGCCGGTAACCATTAATCCCACTTTAATGTCCAACTGAGCGTGAAGGAATTTGGAAAACAAAAATCTCCTTGAGAGGATGATGGCAGCCTTCAACCTCCACCACTGACACACACACACACACACACACACACACACACACACACACACACACACACACAGAAGGGAAAGACAAGTGACAGAAAAAGTCACACTTAGTGTCTTTTCTCTCCATTTTTCTTTCCCTCTCCTCCTGTTGGCCCTCATTTCCCCTTTCCTATCTCCCGCTCCTGTCTGTTTCAATTGTAATAACTTAAAAGTAAAAATACATAAATACATAATGAAGATCGAACAAACTATGGCAATCAAGTGGACTAGTTGGCAAAAGCCGTAATGATCCACTTGTGAAAGTAAATCTGTTGGGCATTCTGCTTGGCCTTCAGACAATAATTCTGATTGCTACAGTGTCAGACAGGACAGGTAAAAAAAAAGGCACACTTCCACTAAGATGTTGTTTCCACCACACCCCTTCACCTCCCACCACAGAGCCAGACATGAACAAATCTTCTCTATGGTTTTCCTCTTGTCCTCCTGTCAGCCAGCTGCATATTCAGCATCTTCTTGTCCAATATAATATCCACTATCCTTCCTCTGCACTTGTCCAAACCATCTTAGCATTGTCTCGCTAACTTTCCGTCCAAGCTGCTCAATGTAAGCTGTCCCTGTGATATAATCATTTATAATCTGTCTAACCCTCACCACACCACCTTCACTTTTTTCATATCTATTCTTAAGAACACTAATTTGCTGCAAATTCTTTCCAGTTCGATCTCTCTGTATAGCGACTCAGTGCAGGTCATTTTCTTCTTTCTTTGTGTCCCCCCAGAAACACTCTCTACCACTTCATCCAAGTCACTCAGAAATCCTCTTTGTCCTCTCACTGATATCCACCCTGTGGGGCATACGCACTGACAACATTCAACCATCGCCAGTCATAGTCCCGACATTCGAACCTCTCCAGACTCTGGGCCGATTTTTTGTCCCAGTCCAGCCCTGGGTGTATCCATATAAATGGCCCACCCTGTACTCATGACTCATGGACTTCAAAGTCTTTTTCAGCCGCTCCATCAGCCAGAGGGTGGTAGGTGCTGGTCCGAACAGATTTAATGCCTGGTTGGTAATTTGTAGAGAGAGATATGAACGATGTGCCCTGGATTATAAGGCACTGGATTATAAGGCACTGGATTATAAGGAGCATTAAGCGAAACCAAACAGTCAAATATGTCAAACTTTACTCAACTCATACTTCTTGCTTCCTCCACTTCTGTACCAATGGTTCATTACTGTTGAATTCTCTCCAGCTGCTCTATTCCCATGTTGTTGCAGTATGTGAATGACTAACCTCGTATTGTGGATGGATTATCTCAGTTTTTCTCCTGCCTGAAGTTTGGTCTGTTTACAGCATCCTGCCATCCAATTGCATTTGTCCTTAACCATCGGGAACCCTCATGTTAACTTTCATCGAGTGGAAAAAGTTAGCGTTCATCCTTCAGCTTCACTGTGTTTATCAGATTCAGAACACTTTATTTATCCCCAAGGGGCATTTAAGAGACTGACTTTGCCGACCGTACACAAACATCACATTGGGGAAACAGGTCAGGCTGGGTAGCTGGCCGGTCAGCCGCACAAGCATGGAACGACCCGGAACCGAACAACAATGGAAAATGCACAACATGAGGAAAGACGAGGAGAAAAAACGAACTCCCCCCAGACTGAGCTCCAACAGCTATGTTATTTTATGCTAACATAGCTGTGTCGCTAGCGGTCACGTAGCACATCATTATATACCAGCTAGCCCAACTTCAGTAACCCTACAAACGTCACTGCTGTTTAGTTTTCTGTCTTCATTTATGTTGGAAGTGATAGCAGAGCTGTACGTTTTAATTTTTTCAGAAATCTCTCAGTCAGAACATGCTATATCATGCTTAGGTGGAAACTAGCAAGCTAACTCTCTGCTAACTTCTAACTCTGTTATATTTAATAAATTCTGTTTTCGTGGATGCCTGGATGTTAAACGTAATTGTTACACCTGGTAAAGCACTAACACTCATCATTTTATTGAAGATGACATAATTTAGAGAGTTCTTAACTCTCAGTGATGCCGCAGTGTTTGTCTGACTTTGGGAGCTGAAGTGGAGTTTGGACCCAGATCACTCCACGAGGTTCCTGACTACGGTAGCCGTAATGCTCCAACAATCCATCAATCGGTGCGGCTTCGTAGCTTACCAAAGTCGTACTTAACCATTTATTGACAGATTTTTGAGTGGCGTGTACCACATAAAATCGGTTCGAGGTCAGTAAGCACAACAGGAATGCATACATATTCATACACTTTCGATTTTTGAGAAAATTTAAGGATTTTAGGTGCACCTTATAGTGCGTAAAATACGGTACAATGTCATATTATTGTCATATTGTTATCCTAATAACAAACCGTGGGTAACACAGGAAGTCAAAGCTGTCCTCAACATGAAGAAGAAGGCTTTCAGGAGCAAAGTGAAGGAGGAGATGAAAGCAGCACAGCGGGAGGTGAAACGCTGCCTGAGGGAAGCAAAGGACACCTACAGGAGGAAGGTGGAGCAAAAGTTGGAGAGGAACAACATGAGGGAGGTCTGGAATGGTGTGAAAACCATCACAGGCCACAACACCAAGAAAAGCACAGTGGGGGGGACTGTGGAGAAGGCAAACGAACTCAACAACTTCTTCAACAGGTTTGACCAGCCCACAACCCCCCCACCCTCACCTTCACTACAGAGTCCTCTCCCCACTCTCCTGCCTCCCTCCCTTCCCCCCCTTCCTGACACCATGACACCCCCCTCCTCCAATCCCTCTCTCAGCAGCAAGACATCTCCCCCCCTCCCCTCCTCCCAAACATCTCCCAGTGTCACAGTGGATCAGGTCAGGAGGCAACTGAGGAAGCTTCGCCCCAGAAAGGCAGCAGGCCCAGACAAGGTGTGTCCTAGGATGCTTAAGGCGTGTGCTGCTGAACTCTAGGGAGCCGCTACAACGAGTCTTCAACCTCAGTCTGCGACTGGGGAGAGTGCCCGCCCTATGGAAGACATCCTGCATCGTCCCGGTCCCCAAAAAGAACAGGCCCAATGAGCTGAATGACTTCCGACCGGTGGCACTGACGTCACATCTTATGAAGACTCTAGAGCGGCTCTTCCTCAACCTCCTCAGACCACAGGTACAACATGCCCAGGACCCACTACAGTTTGCATACAAGGCGGGTGTCGGAGTGGAGGATGCCATCCTGTACCTCCTACACAGAGCCCACTCACACCTGGATGGGGGAAAAGGCACGGTCAGGATACTGTTTCTTGACTTTTCCAGTGCCTTTAATACCATCCGGCCCTGTATGCTTCAGGAAAAACTGAACAGGATGGAGGTGGACCCCTGCCTGGTCGCTTGGATCTCCGACTACCTCACCGACAGACCACAGTACGTCAGGGTGAAGGACATCACGTCTGACACTGTGGTCAGCAGCACAGGAGCACCACAGGGAACTGTGCTGTCCCCTCTTCTCTTCACCCTGTACACCTCTGACTTCTGCTACAACTCTAAATTATGCCATATTCAGAAGTTTGCAGATGACACGGCCATCATGGGGTGTATTTGGGATGATCAGGAAGAGGAGTACAGGAGTCTGGTGAGGAACTTTGTCGCATGGAGTCACACAAACCACCTGCAACTCAACACCTCAAAGACTAAGGAACTGGTTGTGGACTTCGGGAGGTCCAGAGAAGGTCCACTGCCGGTTCAGATAGAGGGGGAGGAGGTGGAGGTGGTCAACAAGTACAAGTACCTCGGGCTGTGGGTGGACAATAAACTGGACTGGTCATGCAACACAGAGCACCTGTATAAAAAAGCCCAAAGCCGACTGTACTTCCTCAGGAGGCTGAGGTCTTTTAACATCTGCAGGAAGCTCCTGAGGATGTTTTACCAGTCGGTGGTTGCTGGAGTACTTTTCTATGCTGTGGTGTGCTGGGGGAGCAGCACAGCAAAGAAGGACTCATCCAGGCTGGAGAAACTGATCAGGAAGGCTAGCTCTGTGGTCGGCATGAAGCTGGACACTCTGGTGACAGTGGCAGAGAAAAGGACATTAAAGAAACTGATGGACATTATGGACAATGCCGGGCATCCTCTGCACACGGACATAAACAATCAGAAGAGTCTGTTCAGTGACAGGTTGCTTCTCCCAAAGACAAGAACTAACAGACTTAAAAACTCCTTTGTCCCACACGCCATAAGACTGTTTAACTCCTCTCTGGAGGGGAGAGGGAGGGGAAACAGGAGGACAAAGGAGGGGGGAACAACTAAGCTGTAGTGCCTCTTCACCTCACTGTACAATACCTTGTGCAATACTTTTTGTAAATAGTCAACAGTGCAATAGACTCAATACTTGAAATGTGCAATTCACTTGTATTTTTATTTTTTTTATTCCTATTTATTCTATTTATCCCCTTCGTATATTTTATTTATATTTGTCTCTGTATTTATATATGTGTGTGTGTGTGTGTGTGTGTGTATATATATATATATATATATAACAATTCTGTAACTGTAACTTCGGTCGTTGCTGTGCTTTTCTTTGGAAGTCGAATTTCCCAGAGGAACCCACCCGAGGGATTAATAAAGTTCTATCTTATCTCTCTTATCTTATCTTATTATCTATGTTACAGATAATCGTAGCATGTTATGTAAAAGATGTTTCTATATCTGCGATTACCACAACTAGATGACTGGAACTGAAACTGTGAACAGGGAAAGAGACTGTGTGAACTGGAAAGAAGAGACTGTAGTCCTTTGTGGACACTACAAAGTCTCACATAATTTGATCTTTATGTCAGGTAGTCAGTAACCCATGAGATGGCAGATAATTACATATATTTCCGGTAGCAGCTACTAGATTATGTCAAATGCTCTTAAGAAATCAAAGGAAGTGATCTTCACTGTGCAGCTTTTATCTAAATGGGAGTATGTGGCGCAGACTTCACTTGAAGGTAGTGATGGTGTGTGGAAGCCAAAAACTGTGGTGGATATAAATTTGTGGAACCAGCACCCCAATGCAGGATGTGTGGATCCTATGAGTCTAACCCAGCAGGCAGAGCAGAGCTTGGATAGATGGGTGAGGGGACTGGTTTTAACAGCCTCTGGTGTCTGGAGGTCTACCCTGCGTATCTCAGTTTTTCCCCTTTACTGTTTCACAAAGGGTTCAAAGGGAATGGGCACAATTTAGAATTTATTTGCAGGATATTTTCTTAAAGCAACTTAGTAAGCAAAAGTGGAAAAGTGGAATCAAATAATAATAATCACAAAGTAATAATCTAATCACCTGAATTATACTTGTATAATTAACAGCTAATGCTGACCTTGTTCTGATCTTTGGTAGAAAGCAGGTTGGAGGTAAGAATGAGCACAACCAGATCTGATGATGCACTTTTCCCTTCTGATTCTTTAATCTAACACGTCAGAAATGAGCAGAGAAAAAAACAAAAAATGCAAACAGAATTTGCAGGTTCACATTTGCCTCTGAACCTGCAGTGGGAACTCATTGTTGCTGACATACAATCATTCAAGCCACACCTTATTATCTACTCTCTAACTGACTTTTTTAAATCCATGACTTAAAACAGGGTTTAAACTTTAATATTACTTAATGACATTTTTTTCTTTTCTATGTTATACTTAATTTGTCAATAATTCCATCACATATGAATGTTCAGTCAAATATGAATATACTATACTTGTATGTTAATAATGTTTTATTCAGCTCATGCAATTCACTGAAGTCAAGGAAAACTGGGTGTGGCAATTGTGCAGACAAGCGATGCACTGAAAATGGAACAGCTTTACACTCTCTCCTTAGTGGGAAAACTACTGTCTTCAAAACTACAATGTGCAGAGACTACACAGTGTGCATTTTACTTTGCCACACTGAACAGGCAGTGAAAAATATTATTTCATTGCAAAAGTTGGAATTTTAAAGTAGAAGGAAGATCTAGGGCAACATTAACTAACCAGCACACAGCATTCATTTGATTTTAAAAAACTGAATGTACTAAGTAAAGGAGCGTCATTTGGTGGCTTGCCTTGTGCATATGTATTTTTAAAACCTTTACTTTCAGGAGAAGAATTAAATTAGTCACGCAAATGTGAATTACGCCGTCTGCACTAAACTGCCACAGTACCACAGACTGTCCAAAATCTAATGCTGAGAAAAAATATGTCTTATGCCTTGTGGTGGTAGTGATAGTTGCTACTAAGAGTTATCAGAAGTTATCAGAACAATCACATAATTGGCACTTTGCATTGATGGCTCAAAGCCTCAGTGCCTCTTCATTCAGTTCTCACGCTGAGTGTTTAGAAGTAAGCCCCACCTTTTGTTCCTCAATAACACCGGGATTTTCACTTTGACAGGAATTAATTGAAATGAGCTTCTTTTTCTCAAGCCACTTTTTTTTCTCAGCAGTGCGCACACAGCGAGCAACCTCTAACAAATATTTATCTCTATTGCACCATTTTTGCCTGAGCTTACACTGGATTGTTTATTTAGTTTGTAGGCCTGCACCATTCTCTCTCTTCTGGATTATTGAGCCACTAATTCACAGTTCAGAGTTCAGGTGTACATTTAACACATTTTTGTGAAAAACTCTAAATATGTCAGCGGTTGCAATGCAGTTATAATTAACATTTATATGATCTGTGCAACTTTGCTTATCATGTCGGTGGTTTTCATGACTGGTGGGCTGTTACGTCGCAATGAATTATGGGACGGCATTTTCTCCTATCCTTTCATAAAGGATGGTTCAGTGTATCCTATGCTAAAGGAAGCAATGATGCTCCTTTCCTTAATCTTTGGAGAATTTTCACAGCTCATATTACTGCCCCCACACAGATATGTCTGGCTGATGTCTCTCAGTTAGAAACCCTCCTAAACAAAGTGAACTATTGGAATGCACCCCAAGTCTTTAAGTAAACATTGAGATGTTAAAGCTGGGCCCTGTGAGATTTCAGTCCTGGCCTTTGTAGTTATGTTGTGGTTGAAAAAAGGAGTCAGCAGTGCAAAACCAGATATAGAGGTCAATATCATATATATTATTTCACGAAACAGAATTTGTGAATATAACCTGCCCTCAAATAATGACATTTTGAAATCTTCCGAAATCCTCATGAACAAAAAGGGTTTGTATTTCAGCAGCTTCCTCTGATTGGTGCTCAGGGTAGCTGACAGTGAGCATTGCCCAGTTGTGGAATGTTTGATAGGGATTCACATAATTTAGCAGTACTTCCTGTCAGCTGGTTTCAGAGAGGTCTGAAATGCCCTTTTGCTCTGATATACACTACCAGTCATAAGTTTGCATACACCTTTTTTTTAATGGTTTTTCTTCATTTTTACAACTTTCTACATTGTAGATACAAACTGAAGACATCAAATGTGTGAAGCCAGATATGTGGAATTATGTGGCAAACAATAAATTGATAAATAACTAATTTTAGATTCCTAAAAAGTAGCCACCCTATGTTTTGTTGACACTGCTGCAAACCCTCGGCCTTCCCTCAATGAGCTTCATGGTGTAGTCACGTGAAATGGTTTAACTTCACCGGTGTGCATGTCAGGGTTTATTTCTGGAATTTCTCTTCTTCATGGGGTTGGGACCATCATTTGTGTTGTGCGGAAGTCGGGTTGGTACACAGCTGACAGCCCTACTTGACAAATGTTAGAATTCATATTATGGCAAGAACCAATCAGCTAAGTAAAGAGAAACAACAGTCCATCATTACTTTAAGAACTGAAGGTCAGTCAGTCCGGAAAATTGCTAAAACTTGTCCCCAAAGTGCAAAAACCATCAAGCACTACGTCAAAACTGTCTCACATGAGGACCGCCCCAGGAAAGGAAGACCAAGAGTCACCTCTGCTGCTGAGGATAACTTCATCTGAGACACCAGCTGAGACACATTAACAGCACCTCAGATCAGAACCCAGATAAATGCCACGTAGAGTTCAAGTAGCAGACACATCTCTACATCAACTGTTCAGAGGAGACTGTGAATCAGGCCTTTATGGTCAAACAGCTGCTAAGAAACCACAACTAAGAAAAGCAACAAGCAGAAGAGATTTGTTTGGGCCAAGAAACACAAGGAGTGGACATTAGACCAGTGGAAATCTCGGCTTTGGTCTGATAAGTCCAAATCTGAGATCTTTGGCTCCTCCCACCATTTCTTTGTGCAGAAATGGTGAACAATGATCTCCACATGCATGGTTCCCAATGTGAAGCATGGAGGAGGAGGTGTGATGGTGTGGGGGGGCTTTGCCGGGGAGACTGTTGGGGATTATTCAAAACTGAAGGCACACTGAACCAACCTGGTTATTACAGCATCCTGCAGCGACATACCATCCCATCCGGTTTGGGTTTAGTTGGACCATCATTTAATTATTAATAGGACAATGACCACCAAACACACCTCCAGGCTGTGCCAGATGGCCTGGCCTCCAAAGTCACCTGACCTAAACTCAGTCAAGATGGTTTGGGATGAGATGGACCACAGAGTGAAGGCAAAAGGGTCAACAAGTGTTCAGCATCTCTGGGAACTCCTTCAAGACTGTTGAAAAACCAGGAGCTCATGAGCTCATTGAGAGAATGCCAAGAGCAGTAATTAAAGCAAAGGGTGGATATTTTGAAGAATCTAAAATATAAAACATGTTTTGAGTTATTGACACTTTTTTGTTTACTACATAATTCCATATGTGTTCATTCATGGTTTTGACACTTTTAGTAAGAACCTACAATATACATCGTCATGAAAATAAAGAAAAAACATTAAATTAGGGGATGTGTTGAAACTTTTGACTATATCTCAGTTTTGCATTCACATTTTTTTTCAAGTGATGAGATGCTGTTGTATTTCTTATTTTCCCCAGGTATGTATGGGCCAGATGAGGGCTGGGCATCTGCCTACCCACAATGTGGAGAGAGAAACCAGTCACCAATCAATATTGTGGATAAGGATACCAAAATATCCAGAGAATATCAGGAGCTGACACTGGAGGGTTTTAACATAGAATCTTCAAATAAGACATCTATGAAGAACACTGGCAAAACAGGTAAACATAACACATGTTCTGTTTGTCCTTTTGTTGAAGTTTCTTTTTTTTGTTCTTGATTTATGCTTCCCTTTACAACAACAATCTTTGTCTTTCACCACCACTTTTAGGAGGGGAGATCATTTCTATACCTTGGCGTATCTTGTCTGACATTGTACGGGCATGAATTCTCACATTAACATTGACTTTAGCTGGGCAAGCTGAGAGGCCTGCAGCTTTTTCAGGTGGTTTGTTCGGCACTGTAGCAATCAGAATTATTTTCTGAAGGCCAAGAAAAATGCCCAGTGGATTTATTTTTTCAAGTGGATTATTACGGCTTTGCCATGTCCACTTAAATGATCTTTATGATTATTACTTAATTCATTTATTTTTAACTTTTAAGATATTACAAATGGAACAGACATGACTGGGGGATAGGAAAGGTAAAGATGTAGAATAGAAAAGTTCAAGAAAAGGAGAGGGGAAGAAAAATAGAGGGGAAGAGGGACAGAGAGAAAAGACAAAAAAAATCTGCTGGATCACCTGCTGGAAGAAAAAAAAAAGCAAAAAGAGAACAACCACAAGAGAAACCACAGCAAGAACCTAGATAAGTGTAAGTGACCAATAGATATTGAATGTTAATGAGCAGCGCGCAAGACCGACAATGCATGACGTGCTTTGACGCAGCAGCCAAGGAAGATACAGTATGTGTCTGTGCACACATGTGTGCATGAGCGCGCTTGTATTCAAAAGGTCTGTGAAGGTTCTCAGTAATCCAGGTCATCGTAGTCAAAGGAGCTTGCAAAGAAAAGCGTCTGGACTTCTTTAAGTTGCTTGACTCTCTCACTCTCTTTAAGTTGCTTGACTCACCAACTCTCTGCCATCTATAATCCAGTTTTGAGTTCCCTTCCCAGACGCCTTAACGCCCACTCACATCCTGGGCCATCTGACCTCAGGAATTCGCATGATAAGGTGGGGCCAGGTTTCACAATGAACACACCCGAAACTCTGGCTGATTGGGACCCACGCCCAGTTTCCCACCTTGGCTCAGGCGATTAGAGGATCATCAGGGGTCCTTTTGTCCCTCTGTGGGGGGAAACTCCCACTAGGTTTATATCTGGGACTCTCCACCATTTGACCTTAGAACTGAAGAAGCTTCTCGGATGAGAGGTGAAACGTCTTCAAGCAACTTAAAGAAGTCCAGACGCTTTTCTTTGCAAGCTCCTTTGTATTCAAAAGGTTTCTCCACTATCTGATAGTGGGTGTGGGGAGCCATAGCCCTGCCCCCCAGGACATCAAGCAGGCATGGAGGAGATCCAGGCCCCAAATATCTTGAGGCCCCCCAATGCACGAGAGCCCAAGGAGGACAATCATGCAACCCACCTAGAAAGAGCTTAGGATAGTCCCAGACAGGGGGTCATGCAGCAGCCACATTGCAGAAGCTACAGGGGGCTGTGACGATGTGCCTGCAGGATCTGCCGGCAGCCAGCTGTGTCAGAGTGGACCTAGACCTGGGCCTGAAGGGCAGTTCAGAGTTCAGGTGTACATTTAACACATTTTTGTGAAAAACTCTAAATATGTCAGCGGTTGCAATGCAGTTATAATTAACATTTATATGATCTGTGCAACTTTGCTTATCATGTCGGTGGTTTTCATGACTGGTGGGCTGTTATGAGGGCCCAGGCCCCACCAAGCAGCCACCAGGAGTGAGCTAGTATGTATCTGAGCCCCCAGCCCTGGATACCGAGAACCACCAATGCACTGACAGCTGAGGGCATCAGCCACTGGCAGGGAGTGTGGTGGTGGGAGATAGATCCCTATACCAGGGGGGCCTCAGATGTTCCCAGAGAGGTGGAGTCTAAGACCCGACCTGACACATACACACAGACAAACAGGCACACACAGACACAAACATGCATTCCCACCCTCATGCACACATATACAAATACTCAGCACTTGCCCACCGTGGAGACACACAGAACAGCAGCAGGGAGGCCCAGCATCCCAGACCCCGACCAGACGGCCAACTCCTCCTCCCGAACAGAAAACGGGGGGGAAGAACCCATACCTCTCTCTGCCCACTCATATGTGTTGCTGTGTGCTTTTCTAAAGTGCATTTAAAACACGGGAGGGGCATGGTGCTTTCTGCAAGAAAGCAGCAGGTGTCAGCATGGCCCCTCCCGAGAACCCTCTGTTAAGTCTATTTGTTGAATGTTTGTCATTATGCTTCTTAAATTTGTAAGGTCTGAGTTCAGTCTATAGGATCAAGACATTCCTTTGTCCCTGAGCACCTCTCCAGCCACTCTGTGCTGGGGGAGGTTTTATGCAGAAACATCCTATCTGAAAGATCTGTTTCTTGTGATGTTGCTTCCTGCTTTTGTGATCCTTTTGGTGAGCAGGAAGTCATGCACACAGAGACACATGCACACTGAGAGACACACATTCTCACACACTCACTCAAACACACACACACACATTCTTACCTGCATACACACACACACACACACACACACACACACACACACACACA